GAAATATTTTATCAGTTTTTCTCAATTTTTGCATGATATTTTCATACAGGACATCTGTTGTTCAAACTCAGGGAAGACTTTATACTGATGAACAAGGTGACCAAGTTTGATGAAGTTTGGAATAGAATTAGTAAAGTTATCATGCACACAATAACAATTATTAACGACGACGACGAACGACGACGACGACGACAACGCCGGACAAAATCTTTCCCTTAATATACCTTTCCCTTCCATCTTTGATGGTACGGGCAAGGTAAAAAGGGTAAAAACATAAAATGCATTTAAAAAAATGCTATAGATATGTCCTCACTTTCCTGTTCATTTCATTTTGAAAGTATCAGGAGATGATATCTCGCAGATTTTGAAATTTAACTTTAATCTAGACATCAGACGCTTCAACTCAGGCTTGGCATACAATAAATACCAAAGGTTAGGCAAAACATTACGTTGACATGACCTATACACTAACTGACTCATGGTCTCCAGTATGTAGGCAAGACTAGAAATTTTTTTTTAGTAAAATTATTAATATTAGTTTTAAAACCTGGTAGTCCCATGACAATATTGAGTCCATCAGGTTTACTTAAAGCTACTGTGAAATACTTTATTTTAGCTGGAATTAATTTTCGCTGAATAGACTTTTTGGGCGTTTTATATGGAATTTATTTTCACTGATTTTTGACAAGTTGAATGTAAAATATAGTAAAAAAAGTATATTCGCTGGATTTTATTTTTCACTGAGTTCTTCCTTCAGTGAAAATAGCGAAAATTAATTCCAAGCAAAAATTAAGTATTCTACAGTATGCAAAAAAAAGAAAAATATACAAACAAACATTGCTTATTTTGTCCAGGACCCCCATAGTTTTCAAAATAAACTGACTGATGTGAAAACAAAAATATTAAATTTTTGTAAATTTCTGATAGCCAAGTTTGGCTAGGTACCAATTCATGAAAATGGCAACCCAAGAACAGGACATGGTAGTCTGTGTGTGCCTACAGGGGCCACTGATAATTCTGAAATCTGTAGGATCTAAATGATCCGAACATTGACCCTAGACATGGATATTATCTTTTGATATATGAATATCTATTAATAGATATGAATAACCCCCCTACAGTATGCACAGATGGTGATGTGAGTCTGACAGGTGTTTGTAATCACTACCACCACCATATGTATAGTCAGCTATTATTATAGACTGCCTGCATTGGAAACTTTTAAAAATAAAAAAATTAAATTGAAAAAAATTAATAAAAATTCTGAAATAATGATCCTTATTAAACAGTGAAAGTTAAAGCAAGGGAGTTGTCACCTGCGCATGCATCAGATGGTCATAGTGTGTCATTGTTTACAAACAAGCGTCTACCCGAGAACCTTTGCGTTTTTAGCGTGTGTTGTTATTGTCGCTTGGAACTCACTCGTTTTAAAGAGAATGAGGAAGATGGTTTATGGATTTATTTTATACACTGAAAC